GGCATCCCTGGTCAACTAAACACACATCTACCTTCCACTGACTACATTGGCTAGGTATAAAATGACTGTAAGAATAGCTTGGACTCCTAAGTGAAATGTAAACATTTTACATATAGACACGCTAAATTAGGTGTCCACGCCTGGAGCTGAATTCTATCCTTATGGCTTGACTCAGTTGCCTAGACCTAGGTGTCTATACATATATATAAGGTATGATCTTTAGGAGACTTTGGCTAGCCATTTGATACCAGAAATCTCTCTAATCATCTACATTGAAGTATTCTACTCCAACTTCCCAGTTTTAGGAAAGGCTGTTGAAAAGAGTGTGTGAGTACTACCTAGACCAGTCTTCATCCTAATCTATTATCTACCACCATTGTTTAAGGATGACTAACTCTCAGTTACTGCAGCTGAAAATATGTAAATTTTGTTTCATTAATAGCTATTTCTCTAGTGCTTAGGAAACCTCTAAATTCTTATATTATACAGTAGGTTTGTGCACAGATGTGAATAGTCCACAGTTTTGGGGGCTATTTCAGTCCTAAATTATTGAGACTGATTTTACTGATGCTGTTACCTGGTTTAGATATCATTGATTACTGCCTTTACTTGCTGGGTCTCACTATATTAAATATAGGAAACTCCACAGAAAGATGGAGCCTTTTATGACAAAGTGCTTTGTGTCTGCCCTAGGCTGGTTTTCTCTCTGTCCCCGTGCACTGGTACCTCAACTCCTTCTTCCACAGGTATCTGCTTTTGCCCTTCTCTCCTCCTAAACCTTTGCACCATGAAGTTACACACATGAGAAGATGGCGTAATGTGTTGTTGCAATACCCTCTTCTCTGAGGGTCCTGTGGGTACCTGGGTAGCTGTGAGGGAATCACATTCCTGCAAGATCTCAAGCAGCAGAGATGCTTCACAAAAGCAACTAGATTTTTTTGCATGAGTTAGGTAAAATCTAGTTCAAGCACCTATCGTACTAAGATGACAATGTCAGCAGCTGGATCATAGATGGAGGTCGCATTACCATATGCTCTTAAGCCATTGTGTGTACAGGCTTCCATAGGTCTTTCTTCTCAGGGAAACAAGCGTTTGATATAGGACATAATCATGTCTTAATAAAAGACAAAAATTAACTCCTATGAACAAAGGCATTCTCCAGGCTTTTAACAACTGTCGAGCTAGATGGACTTTTGTCCTCACACAGTGGACGCTCTCCTATTCTGTAGCTAGAAAGCAGTAAATAAGAAATATGTTATTTTATTAAAATCAGAGATTGGTATGTACCTAAGATTATTTTTCAGTACCCTGGTCTTCAGAGAAATGCTTGTTACTTGTGCAGTTGAATTATTTGGAGGCATTCTGTTAATTTTCAGAATATTATATTAAAATGCAAACATTGGTGCTTTGTAGCCTTTTAGATTTGCAAGTAGTAGATGAATTATGGCTGGGTAAGTATGACAAAATAGTGATTAATATCAGAATTTCAAATTGTATCTAAGAATGAACACTTCTTGAGAATTTAAAAACTGAATGTATAGTCACCTTGACCACTTCCCTGAGCCTTGAGGTCTCTCTTTAAAAACTACTTTTCAGCTTCTTTGTGTCCCTGTCCAGGGAGATAGCAGATTCATAAACTGCAGTAATTGAAACCACTGCGAATTTCTTGAGTATGACTAATCATTACCATTTCTTACCGAAAATTCATTTCCTCCCAGCCAAGATTTTATTAATTTTAATATGAAAACATTCACACCTATCATTTATCCCCTGGGGTCTTCCTAGGCTGCTGCAGAAATGGAGTCTGAATTCCATTGCTTTGGCTAGAGTTGAGGATGTGAATTCCTCTGGCTAATTGCTTTTTGGATAACCTACAAAACACCAGGGGTCAGATTCTTGGCCTGGTAACGTCGCTGTGCACTGCTGTGGCTCGATGCCTACCTCTCCCAACATGGGGAATCCCAGGAGGAGAGAATTACAAGGTTAGGGTATTCTTGACTTCAGATACCCACATTTTCTCAGCTGTTGCTATACATGGTAATAAAAGGGAGCAGCCTTAAAGCTGATCAGACTTATATGGAGGGTTGGAATGGCCTCCAATGGGATGCTTCTGCCCAGCTAAAACTTTACTCTCAGTTGATTGACCTCCACTATGAAGCATCTGGTGACCTAAGCAAAGATACATGATGGATGCATTTTCTAAAACATTGACCAGGCATTTGCTCCCCTGGGAAACAGTCTTTTACTTCTCACTAGTTTTGTGCAGGCTGACAAACATACCTTAGCAGCGCAGATGAACATTACCAGAGTCAAAGAGAACACAGATGTGCACACACATGTTATTTGTGGGGGGGCTCCAGCACACACAATAAACATGTTAGGCTGTCCTTTCTGTCTGTGGCAATTACAGGAAACCAGAAACCCATCCACTGTAAACTTTGCCTGTTAACAAAGCTAAAGTACCACTGTCTTGGGCATACCCCTCCAAAAACATGCTGATCTGTAAGTGTAAGGTTGATTTCGTTCCGTGTCAGTGGCATGTGACATATTAAATTGTTCAGCTGCATCCAGGAAATTGAGGAAAAGGAAGGGTAGATCTCCAGGTCATCGCTGACCTGCCTGTCATCCTGCTTGTGTGATGCTATCACATGAACTCTACAGAGTAACATGGTATTTGGCCCCTCCGGTTAATCCTGAAACTAGTTGTTCTGAGAATCATCACCTGATGATGTTACATGGAGGACTTTTCCCCTATCATACTAGATAGACCTTGACAAGAAAGGGGGACATGTGTGGAGATCTCCATCCACATAACCAGAAGGTAAATCTTTCTTATTCCACAACAGACCACCAGTCCCTGTGCACACAGAGTTTGGTCGAGATCAGGATGCTGTCCCCAAAATGGTGGTACTATCTGTCATCTGGCTATATGGCTGTTTCTTTTCACTAGTGCCATGGAGAAGAGCAGGTTTGTGGCAAGAGGTAGAGGCAAAGTGCTAACGAGCAGCTAAGGCGCACCCAGAGCAGGTCTGTAGAGCCCCTGTGGGCTTTACCCCACTCACTGGATCAAGGAGGTTTTGCATCCAGCATAGGCTCCAAGGTTCAGACTGAGTTGGGAATACCCCCATAAAATTTGCCTTCAAAATCAAAGCTTCTTTGTTAATTGAATTCTAAATCAATAATACTCTTCCCCACCAATAAAAAAAAAAAGTGTTGTCTGTTGTTAGCCAACAGCCAAAAAACTCTAACCCAAAACCTGAAGCGTGTACTGCTCTTAGAGGAAATACATCGGGTGCCTGGTCTGTGGTTTGTGAGGGCAAGAGCAGTGTGGTTTTACACAAGTGTGCCCTGCTCTCTGAAGCAGACAGGCCAATGGTCCCCTCATGCAGGAGGAACACCCTGCTGCACTTGTGTGACCCCTCCGGTGAGCCCAGGCTCAGACCGATGTGCTCTAGGTGGAGCCACATCTGTCCTTGCTCTCCGGAACGGAGGTCATCAGCCTGCCAAGCTTTCCAGGAAAGAGGGAGTGGCCGGAGAGTCTTGAGTTACTGAGCATGGACCACCTGGAAAATAGTGAGCAGCGAGCACTTGTCCTACCTCTAGTCACTCCACAGTAAGGAGTAAGGAATGCTGAATTGGCTTTGAACTCCCACCCAAACTGGCTTTGAAGAAATGGAAGGGCAGGCAAGTAACATGCATGTTATGTTATAAAAAAAGGGCAATAGAATTTCTGCATTTTAGTCTGTAATAGAGGTTGGTTAGGATTACAATATTTGGATCTAGGCTTGAAACACATAGGTCTTTGAGTCTATTTAGAGACAGGGGCTGTTTGCAAAGCTCAGACCTTGACCCAGGTTCTGACTGAGAGTACCCTCCAACTTTGATGTGTTTCTAGCTCTGATAGAGAAAAAGGGGAAAAAATCATTTTCTCTCTGCATTAGAGAGAAAGCATATTAATAATGCTGCCACTGATGATTGGGGGGAAAAATCCTAGTCTCTTGCAAGGCAAAGTTGGGAAATAGCTATCTTTTATTTCAAGAAATCAGGGTCATAAAAATTATAGCTATAAAACACACAGCAGCCTGAACCCTTTACATAAAACCTCTTGTACTTTATGCCTCCTTTTTCTATTTCAGATCTTCATTTGCCTAATTACTACTCAGAGGCTGGCAGAGATTTTCCCTGCAGCGCTCAGCTCTGCTGACTGCAGAGACCCTACCTGGCACACTAAGTTAGTGCGTCAGCATTCTAGGTAGAAATGAATGAAAAATCAATCAGGGCAACTGCAGTGGTAGCATATACAACTCTAACCTACTTTGTGCATGGTTTCAAACATTTCATTGTGTATTTAGGCATCTTTTAAAATGCTAAGTGGATCTGAAATAAAATAGATCTTTCTAGTCAGCCTAAGAAATGTTTTGTCATCTTTACTGCTTAGCTCAAGCAAACTTACCACCCTGACTGCTAAGTTAACTTGCAGTCTTAGTTGAAATGCCAAAACCTACAAGAAGATTGTTTTAATCTTGAAAAAATCTATCACCAGCAGATTGCATCATGCAGTGGACATAGATATGGTGATGGCTTTGATTGGTTTAAGTGTATTTACAGACCAGATCTAGAGTAGGTCTGGAAAAGCAAAAGTACATGAGAACATTTTTTGAAACACAGGTATTGCTTACATATGGTCTTGCAAGGAGTTTGGTTTATGGATATTTGTGTGTGTGCTTTTATTTTTTCACATTGTATTTCTGCATAGGCAGAGTTATATATGGATTGCCAGTTTCATTTAATGAAAGTCCATCTTAAAAAGGTCCAGTCTTTATGCCTAAAAAATTGGTAGCTGCTGTAACTGTTTCAGCTGAGTGGGTTAAATATATAATAGATCACTCATAAGATGAATCCTGTAACAAGTTGTGCAGTGCAACACTGTAAAGGTTTCCAAAAATTCACAAGCCTTTTTGTATGTGATGCCCTTGCAGTGAAGAAGATTGACTATAAAGATGAAGAGTCTACTTTTTCTGGTGCTGATTTCTGTCTGCTGGGCTGAACCTCATCCTAACAACTCAAGTCTGGAGCATGAAAGAATTGTTCACATTCAAGGTAAGGAAATACGTGAGAAAATGCCAGTATCTTCAAATAGCTGAGAGAAACAGAATAATGTGCTTAATGAGACTTAATTTTTTATTCTGCTGCACTGTTTTTAAAATACTACTATTACTGGTGACCAAACCTTTTCTTTTCTGGTTCTGTTGCATTATTATTGCTCCTAAGTAAAGTAAAAAAAAATTGAAAGCTTCACTGTTTAATAGCACTTAGTCACAACCTTGCAAACATTGAGTAATGTATAGTATGATTTAAGATAAAGAAAAAAAAGCATGCATCCTAAAGTAATAAGCAACTGCAGTGGGTTGAAATACTCTTAGTTTAATATGAAATATATTTGATTTTAAGAAGACTATCATGCATGGTTCTTCACATTACAGAAAATTATTGCTGCTTATTGTTTAAAAAGGCTCAGCATATCTGAGATCATAATTGGGCAATTTATACCAGGAAAAAAAAAAAAAAGAAAGAAGTAGCTTACCCCAAGAGAAATGTGTCTTTCCTCATACCTTTAATTCACACTGAGTATTATACTGGCCTTCTGCATAATCCTGCTTGGTTCATGTTTGAATCCTAGAGCTTATAGCTGTAGCAGGATTTGAGTCTGCAGTACAATGCAGCTGTTTTTTCGGTCCCAGCTTCAGTCATTGAGGGTCATCCTGTATAAGAAAAAACAGGGGATTTATGCAGTAAAGACAGACAGAACTAACAGTTTTTCTTGCTCTCATTTATGTATTTCTTGAGGCTCTCTAATATTAATCTTGCAAAATTAAGATAGGCAGCATTATTGTTCTCTCTCTCTCTTTTTAAAGTTTGATTACTTTCTCTCAACAGCTGGCAAATTGTGTTATTTCAATATTCATGTAAATATGAATTACCAAGTTAGGGCAGGTTACTAAGAAAGCTTGAAAAGCCTGAACATTTAGAAGTTCACAGGGAAGTCACAGAAGTTAAAGGTACCCTGCACCTCCTGCACCTATTAAAACAGGCACTCAGATTGTCAAGGTCAAATAAAGAATAACAGATAGCTGGTTTCACTCTAAGGAAACTCACAGGATGAAGGTCAAATGAATGTGTTATATCAAAATGAAGACATATCACTGTTGTGAAATGATGAACATTTGTTCCCCTGCGGAAATTTCAAATTTGACACCGAAGTCTAATTAACATGTAGTTTGCCTTTCCTTGTATAGTGCAGTTTCTTATGTCTGAACTTTATTTCTCTTTTTGGAAGATTAAATTAGTGGAAATAATTAAAACAAATCAAAATTATTTTTTCCTTAATCTGTGTATGTTAAACTTGCTTAGCCAGCAGTTTAATGTAATTTGCAAATCATTTACTAGTCCTTCAGCATGTGTACAGCGCAGTCTGCAAGTGCTAAATAGTTTAAAGCTGATAAAAGTTTCAAGATGGACCATTCTCCCTACCCATGAAAACTCATCTGAACCTCAAGAGTTTATTCCTTCAAGGAAAGCTGGATAAAGCTTAAAATTGAGTTCTACCATGATCTTTGTTCATCAGCTGATTCAGGCTGAAATACACAGACCACAAATCAAAAAAAATAAAACTGTTCAAAAATTGGCATTTTTACTATTAATTTCTTCCATTCCTCTCTGCACTGTGGAATCCCATCAGGCTTGGGATTCTGCTCTGCCCAATGGTGCATAAACACATAAGATGATCTACCTCTGGAAACAAGCTGGAAATCAGGAAAGCCTGTGGAACACATGTGTTATAGTTTCATACAAAAGGTATTTTATATTACATTAAGGAGTGCAGCATCCCCCTCCACAGCTCAAATCCAAGAGATGTGCAGCTGATCTCCTCCTGGATTGCATGCTTTGGAATGCCTTGGGATTACAAAAGGTGAGGATAGATGTTTTGTAGTCAAATACACAGAGCTGAAAGGGATCTCCTGAGGCAATGAACTAATCCATCTTCTATTGCTTTTTTACATCATGTAATCTCCTGTAAGTTTAGTTTAATTTTTGAAAAAGCTGAGTTTCAAATCTCATTACTGCAAGGTAGTTTTGGACCCAGTTTTTCTGATATGAAAAACACTCTCCTAATTCTCCATGTTTATTCACAGCCACTGTATGGCATTATGCTTCTAGCATTGCTCCTTAGCTTCCAATAACAATTTTTCTTCTTTGATGTTCACTTTAAAACATTAATAAGATAACACCATATCATCACAGCTGTCATTTTAGTAAACTTTTTCAAATTCTTCTGTAAGTGTATACCTTCCAGTTGCCTGTTAATGTTAGTAGTTCACCCCTGCGCTTGTTCTTGTTTGAATTCATACTTCCTGAGTGCACCCAGCCAGGATTTTATTCCAGATAAGATCTAAGGCTGGCATTGGTATTTTTTTTCCAACTAATAATGCTTTGTTTTTCATACCATGGATCAAATCTGTACTCTTCCCAGCCATGCTGCAGTGCTGATCAATAGTCTATTGTGACAAATAATATTTAGGAGTCATTATCCCAGATTCTCACTTGCAATTAACAAGGTTTATATCAGTAATTCTTCATAATAGGCCATAAAAATCTAGATTATGCCTTCAGTATTAAATGCCATCATACTTTTTCCACCCTTCTGTCTTCAAACATTATAAATATCTATTTTCCTCCCTTCAGGGTTGCTTAATATGCCATGTGAAAATATATTAATTTGATAGTCACATTTACTTTATAAGGTAAAATTAGTGGAAATATTAAAGAGTCTTAAAAATTATACTGGAGAGCTTTCACTAGACTTTTTCTGGGCTAATCAGTTATGTTTCAGCCCAACCAATTGCTAACTCCTCTGTATCTAGTTCTTAGACACTTAGCGAAGTTTCTACCATAACACCGATTTTCTCCAGCCTGTCTAATTTCCTGTATTTCCCATCTCACTTTCTTCCCTGATCTCCAAACAATTGATACATTACATTTCCCTGGCCTTATACATTTATTTTTATTATATCAATGATATCAAATTAGTCTGACACCCTTTGGTAAGCATCACCTGCATTTTGTCCCTCTTTCTAGTAACTCACTCTTTTTCTGTTCTTCAACAATTTTTCTTCAAAAATTGTTCTAAGGTCCTGTTTGCTGTTGAGGTCAGTTTAATGAGCCTGTTAATAGTTAAATTACTTTCCTTACATATCTTTGTTATTTTGCTGTTGTTCAGAAACACATGGTACCATTCTCAAAGCAATAGATAAGCTAGTATCTCTGCCATCAGGTTTGCCATACCAAGTGTCAGTAGTAACGTCAGTACTTCAGGCTGTGAGTTTTTCTACCCTTTTCTACCCTTTTCTTTGAACAGTCTATTTTCTGAGTTCAGCTTTCATCTTTATGTTTTCATTTCATATCAATGCACTCATATACTTTAAAACACATTATACTTTCAGAGCATCAAAAACAATGTTATTAAAAAGAGAGGATTTGTTAATGTAACAATTGGGACATTTCTTTATTGTCTTCCACCTTTATCTGTGTAGTGACTCCATACTCCACAATGAACCTGTACCTGTTTAAAAGGCTTTTTTCACTGCTAGAGTAAGATCTTTTACAGTCCTTCCTGGCATGCTTTTGATCTATGCTCCGTTTCTCCTCAATATCATTTCTTATTTCTTCACAACCTGCTAAAGCACTAATGTACAGTGCCACCTCATCACCTTTATCTTTCATTCGGACTTCCTAAAGAGCAGCCACCTGTTAATACTGTATTACAGTCTGATGGCTATTTCAGTGTGCTTCTGACTCCCTTAACAACTGTGTCGGGAACCAGAAGATCTAGTTACCCAACTTCCCTGCCCCTCCATTAGTACAAAGACTTGGCATTTGCTAACCAGAGCGAACAGTGTTTCATAAATCATATTGTTCTCTGATTATACCGATACATCATTGCTTTTTATGAACACAGAGCTCTGTCATTCAGATGTCCACTCTCTTGAAACTGTAGATTTCTTTAGCTTTACCAAACACTTGCCAACCTCTTTAACATTGTAATAGGCAGAGATATCATGTTCTCTCTTCAATCTTTCAATTTTCTTAGAAATGAGTCACTGGCTTCATGAATATGTCTGTTCCTGCTGACGGTGTCAGCTCTAGTTCCTAGTTCTCCCCTTGTTGGTTAATAAAGTGAAACTGGACCTCAGTCAAATTTTTCATCTGCTAGAGAGTTTTACCCCCTACCTTTACCAGTATTCCTTTCTGCTTCTTTCCTCTCACCCACTTCTTTTGTTTACATCTTTTCTTCTTTGGTTTTATTCCAATATGTGTGAACAAAATTTATGCAATATCTAAAACTGTATTTTATCTCTTCTGTGACTTTATTTCCTTTCCTGAAACCTGTAGTGGATTTCATGGTTTGGTCAGGCTGCTCTCTTATTCCAGCCTCTGTGGCCATATCACCTTCCTCTCTGTAGTTTATCTGCATACAAAAGTCATTCCAATTTAACTTTTGTCAATAAAGGCAAATGAGAGAACTATATGAGATTAATTGTCCCCCTCACTCTCCCCACCCCCCACCCCTCACCCCCGCAATAAACCGTATGTACCTTAGGGGATACCAGTTTCACTCTTTAGAAAAAATCATTATCCTAAATGAAATCATCTGGTGATTGTGAAAATGGGATGAAAGTTTACCCTAGCCGCATAAGTGTCCACAAGAAAACAATAGTACTGTAAGCATATCAATGTAGTTAAAGACTCAGATTTTTCTCTGAAGTCAAGATACGGGAAGGACTCTGTGACCCATGGAGATGAAGATGACTCTTTTCAGTGCTCAGCTTTGAATATCTGTCTCATCTATTCATAGTGCTAGTTGATGACCAATTATTCAAAGAGGCAGAGGAGCCTTCAGAGATAAGAGCATTCTTCTGTGGGTAGCTGTTCTGCAAAATAAACAAAGTTGACTAAGCCATTACAGTAATTGCTAAGTTAATTACTTAGGGGTGGCAGGAGCCTTTAACATATGCTTCTAGTTTGTTCTGGTTTTAGAAATA